AACAAGTACCGGGCGCGGGTCGTAACAGTTTCGAAGCTGGCTGTCCCATAATAATTATTGTTTTATGGAACATCCGTGTGAGAATTTTTAGTGTAAGTGAAAAAAATTAAAAAATGTATCTGAGCTTGTCGAAGGACAACCAAGAAAATACCAGATACAAGTGGCATACCAAACCGCAACCACCTTATGATCGAAACTTGTACACCCTAAGGACAGGGTTGGGTATCTTGAAAGAAAAGGTGTTGTCTACGTGATCCCGTGTGCCAGCTATGATGCAGTATATTGTGGCCAAACTGGGAAATGCGCCTCAACCCGCATACACCAACGTCATTCAGCGGTCAGGTGATCATGCACACACTGGAAACCGGCCACAACTTCGCATGAGAGAACACACGGATTGTTGGCACTTGTTCAATATGTTTGAATTACCGTATAAATGTAAAGGCCTGACGAGAATTTATCGAAAACAAAAGTATGTTCGCCAATTCATCTTCTAAACTTTTCAATGGGAATTTTAGCAAACTTATCCAACTGGAAAAGGCCGTGAATTTCTGGGAGCAATATACTGAGACGCGTTATGCATCAACAGGCATATCAATTTGGACGCCAGCTATAATTGCCTTAAAACCAAGTTCAATGCACGCGACCAACCACGACGGAATGACCGAAACACGTGTAACGCCTACTGGCGCAGACTGATATAATCCTTTCAAAGTCAAATGAGTAGTGATTTTTCTGGATTTTTTTACTTGTTTGTTGCACATTTTCTCAGGTCTGAAGATGATGAGGGAAACCTGTTTTGAAAATTTGCACACAAAAGTTTCAACCTTCCCAAGAAGACTCGCTTTTCTTGGTGAAAAAAACTATTTATAAATAAATAAATGTATCGAGTTGCCCTGCATTTTCCCAGTCAGAGCAGATCGGAATTAATCTTTTTCTATATAGACACCCACGCTGTACTTAGAAATTATTAAGGCACCTAAAGGCATGTACATAAATGGACATGTTCTATTTGCTCATTGCTGTTGATAGGTCGTCAGTGAAAAGAAGAAACAGTAAAAGGCCCAGAGCTGTGGCTTGAAATACGCTACTCGTGATCGGGTGATCCAGTTACAATTATCAAATGGGACATTCTGACAGGGGTTGGTTAAGTAGGACGAAATTAACTAGTGTGGAGGGGGCCAGAGCCCAAGGACTTCCACTTTTACAGAAGACGTCTATATGACACCATGTCAGGTCGAAGTTACTAACCACCACTGATTGCTACACGATACAAATTGAAATGAAAGGATTAGAAAATTCACTGGACATAATTTTTTCAAGTAATTGCGCTAAAGATGGGGTTTATTGAGGGTCCTGCTAGTTAGTTAACTTGGATCGAAATGTTAAGTTGAAGACTTAAGCATATTATATATGTTATATGTTTTAGGGAAGAGTCCGCTATATATAAACCAATACACTGGAGCCTGGCATGCCGAGCAGTTCCATCTACGAGCATTTCAGTTAACGAGCGAGCCACTAGCAGGAGATTTGCTTCTATTGACGAGCTTCCGCTCAGTTGACGAGTTGTCAGTGTGTGTTTGTGTGTGTGCCTGTGCCCGCCTTTGAGTCTTGCTCCCAGGGGGTTGGTCCTCGGTCGCATGCAGCCAATCATTGAAATGATGCAGTTTGATTGGCTAGGCTTTGTAAGACGAATGGTTCAGGTGATGAACTCAGCGCTGGGGTGGATTGAATTCGTTAAACGAGCCTCCACTGCAACTTGTGAAAGTCTGACATTTTTATTATCCAGGCTGGAATACAATCCGTTCCCACAGACCTACTTGCTTTTCGATTAGTCTGAGGACCTATCAATTAACTTCGGAACTCTAACTTAAAGCAGACACAATAAAGGCGTTAGGTAGGACTGTGTAGTAGAGCATTTTACAAAGAAGATCCTAAACAGTCCCGCCTTGTCAATGTCATTGAAAGGGAAGCTTTGATTATCATTGATCAAAGGGCGAATTTCTTGACCATGCTTCGAGGCAAACCGACAACGGGGGAACATTGCGAGGGATTTCGCAGGGTTCGGATCACTAGGTGTAAATGGTTCCCTGTCTGTCGTCCACACGACGCATCTTCGAGGCTAATTCAAAATTTCAGTGATAGGAAAATGAACGGATAAAGAACTAGTGGACACATCTGTTGGCTGCCTTCCCAACTTCTAGCGTAACTTGTAAAGTCTGTTTTGGAGAGAGTGTGAGAACATGAACAAAACAGAATTTAACTTAAACTTCTCCAGTGGCAATAAGTAGTGGCAAAGTTTTGGATTATTCTTTGACAAAATGCTGAGCCAATCTAGGGGGCTTGTAATTGTACTTACTAATTCCCTTTTAACATGAGCAACGTAATTTGGAATTTATATTTGTTAGCGTCAGGAGGGTACTATCTATACAAACTTAGTTTCATAAAAAAAACATGACGGTGTGCAAAAAATAAAATGTACAAATTTGTAATAATATCAGCAGAAATTGTCCTCTTCGGGCAATATTTGGCGATGTTTTGCGAGTAGTGGTGAATTAGAAAATAGGCAGTAAAAAAAATTCTTACGCTGAAAATAGAGGGCGAGTTCAATAGATCTCCATTTTCAAAAGGTGTGTAGGAGAAAAAAACTGCTTAGGAGAATAAGATAAATCTATAAAGTAGGCTAATACTACAACAGCCGTTCAGAATAGGATAATGAAATGCGTCTATAGCTCGCCCTGGGTAGCTAACATGCATAACATGAAAGCTACCGAAGAAGCATCAGTCTGCGTAGGGCCCCGACATCTCAGGAACCAAACTGGAATATTGATGATGGTTGGTAGCCAACGAAACGGGAACAGTTTTGCCTGAGCACGTCATCATGGCTTCCATCGTTTGAATGACTGGTGGTTTTTGGAGACGTCAAGGTTACTGGGGGCACGAGGTAGAGAAAAAGGTAAGGAACTATCGTGAGGTCCCCGCAGTGCGCGCGAAGCGCGCTCCACTCCAATGTGGGCACCTGGTTTTGCGGGGTAGAATGGGTGGGATATATTGGGGGACAAATAAGTGTGCAATAATCATGCAAATTAAGAAAGTTACGCGTGTAAGTTGGGGTGTTCGCTGACCTTGGGCGAGGTCACGGAGGTACATTGTTTGAATACCATCACCAACCCCAACTGGATTAACGGCGGGCGACCGAAAAATTGGAAGATTTTGGAAGTTTTCCCACTTCAAATTTGTAAGTAAGCGGTTATTCCCACGGTTAATATGAAAAGCCAGTTTGCCTAATAAGCTGACTTAAGCCGTTATTGTACATGTTGGCCTTCCGAGGACCCCTCTGTAGTTCGATGTCATCACCAATCCCCACTGAACCAACGGCCGGCATGCGAAAATTTGGATGATTGTGGAAAAGTCACCCTACTTAAAATTTGCAAGTGAGCGGTTATTGTACACATTGGCCTTCCAAGCACCCCTCTATAGTTCCCTGCCGAGAAAAAATAGTTTCAAGAGGATCTCCTAAAGTTCCGATGGTCCTTTCTGGGAGTTATTAAGAAAGCTGTTCGGAAAAGATGAGAAGAATAAAAGGTTGATAGAATCAGTCTTAAGATAAATGTGCAGTCTTCTCTTAAAAGCAGATAGACTAGGCAACGACCTAATTTCAATTGGTAAGTTATTCTAAAGAAAGCTATATCTGGAAGCAAAGAACCAAAAGCATTTAGATGAGAAATTACACATTATCACACATTAATTCACTGTTGCCTTCCGCTTCCTTCTACGGAAAAGGCT